CGACTCGAGTACTAGTGCTGAAGTCATAAAATCTTATGGATTTTTGTGGTTATTGTCGCTGACACAGTAAATCGAAAAGCAAAATCCAGAAGTGGTTTTGCGCCTTTTCGGATCTAGTCATCTCACAGTCATTCCGTTAATCCCATGAAGCGTTTGCTGTGTAGGACGCGCTAAGGTTTCGACGAATTCGGCAGCACCTCAGGTTCCGGAGTTTATGCAGCTCCAGATTTTTGCAGAGATTTGCTTTGATTGGTGCCCATGCAGCTGAGCGAGTGTGTTTTTTGCTTTTCTTCGTCCCTGACTGAGTACTTCGTTTTTTCTTTTTTTTTTTCTTTTTTTCAAAATTTCTGGGAAAAACGTCCTCGCTGAGCAGACTTTCATTTGTTCATTTTTTTTTTTTTTTCATTTGGATATGTTTATAAACGAAGAAATAAGGCAAAGGGGCGAAATCTGGTTTTTATTGGTTTCACACTGCGCATGACAAATTACATATATCTGTATGTCTGTAGTAGTTGCTCACTGTAATGCTGGATTTGGAGCTGAGCTTGGGCCCGTAGCATCAGTTTGTCGGCATAGTGTTTATGCCGAATAGCGTTAAAAACAGTGACAGGGCATGAAAATCTCAGCCGTTGTTAGCAGCCCTTGCGACACTAAATGAGGATATGAGCCCAGAACTCAGCGGAATAAGAAAAGGTTTCCAACTAGAAACTGCATATTTTGGGGGTAGGAGGAGGAGTCAAGCGTTGCCCAGTGTAGCTAGGTTAAAAGGCGGTAAAGCTTTGTTGTCACTGCATATGCGCATTAAAATCAGTAAAAGATTATGATTGCTGGTTAACAGTGGATGACCTAACATCCCTGGTGTTCATGTTACCAACACCTTGCTTTTCTGCCTCCTGTACTGCTGTCATTCGCTTTTCTGACTGACTGAGTGTAAAACTGCCGATAAGCGAAGGAATATATATGCGGTAACAGTAATTACAGTTAATGATAATAGTAGTAATGGATTCACATATATGAGAATAAACAAAAATCGAGCAGGACTTGGTCTGTCTGAATAGGTTAAAGGCATTCCCATATTAGTTCATTTTTCTGGCATATGTGTTCTACTGTCAATCTGTTTCAAAATAGGGCCATGGGGAAGCCATCAGCTTACCTTTCCTCAAAATGGAAATGCTGCAGTTTTTAGTAACTTTTATTGCAAAAAAATAAGTGTTTTTTTCCCCAAAAGGATCTTCTTTCCCCATATGACAAAGTAACGATTAAAAAATCCATTGTCAAAAACATGAGATATTTTGACAGAGAGGGGCGGGAGCGAGAGACAGTTAAAATGTCTTTTTGCCGGAGCAGTTCGAGCTTTTCGAGAAGGTGAAATGCTTTCCCAGCTGTTCGTCAGCCTGTTTTTAGCTGGAGTTGAGCCCTCAGTATTTGGGAATCGAGCATCATTGGAAAATGCATTTTTCAGCCACTAATTCACATTGCAATGATATGCAAGTGGTGGCACGCACAGTGGGACCGATGCCAAGTGTTTTTTGTGCGGCGCGCCCCGTAAACTGGCTACGCAGGCGGAAGAAATGACGCATGTAGTGAGCGCCTTGTTCTCTGCCGCGTGAGCATCAGCAGTGGACGGGCCACCATTAAGCAGATCAGATTGCGTGAGCCCGACATACATACAAACAGCTGAGAATGAGGAACGGCTTGTCAGAAATGTCGGAGATTTGAAAGGGTCGGGTCTCATGGGCGGAGTACAACGGTGTGCTTTCAGCGGTTGACGCGGACATGCAGAGAGCCTGCGTTTGTTCATGAAACGCATGCGTATTGATCATGTGGTTTACTAGATTTTCAAAAAGTGAATGCCCCCTGAAAGTCAAAAATCACCTTTAATTATTAGTTGTTTTTAAGCATACGAGTTTCTTGAAATCCTAAAATTTCTTTTCTCTTTAGATTAAAAGTTTCTGAAATGAATAGCAGCGACAGCGTCAGTGGTTTTGGTACACATCTTCCGTCTGTCCCTTCTCAGACGTCCATTTTTATTACCTGATAAAATTTTTATTACATTTGGGAAGGCCAGAAACTTTTTATGCACTCCTTTGCGATTGCAGAAATTTGTTATCAGTTGACCAGTGAGACATTTTTTGCCATTTTTGGAGAGCATCCTGGCGATCTGCTAGTCCCCGTTGCCTGCTTATTTGCACTTCAAACAACCCTCCATGCATGTATATTTTCCAAACCAAGCCAACTCTGTACCCTTCATTCAGCACGCCGCATTTTCGACATATTTTCCGATTTTAACCTTCGTTGACTTGAATCTCGTCTTCTTAATGTTTCATATTACAAACGAACACTTATTGTTGGTTTTTTCCGTACGTTTTGGTTATGTTTTGCACCTTCCTTCTTTATTCATTCTTCTGTTCGATTTCCCGCACTTTAATTAAATTTTCCGCACTTTTTCTCGCGCTGGCACCAGTGAGGGGTTGAAGGTTGTTCCTTGGGCTTCCACAAACAAGATGAAGTCCCCCACCAGCCGGTATGCAGGTTCTGCGTTAGCAGTGTCAAGTTCTGCATGCCTCCAGTTGGTTCCCATGACCCTGTTCGACGGGAGAGCGCAGGCTTTTCGAAGATCGCTCGAATGGCCATTTCCTTTCTCAAGTCATCGTTCATCTGCGACGTCTGGTCCGCGACGTCTACCAGTTGTCAGCAAGGCGCGTATGTTGCACAGCGTAACCGATGTGCAGGGCTGTGAGGAAATCTTTCTCGCGTAACCGCTTTCTTGTACACTATTCGTCTTATCTGTGGTATTAGAATGCTTCTTCGTAATTGTTTGTATGGTCAGGAAGAGCCAACAAGCGCTGAAGGGATTTGCTACTGGTTGGCACGGGTCAGAGGTATTGGAATTTGGACGTCTGATGCGAACAGATTCGCCTACAATTTTCTGTATGGCTCTCCGAGTCTGTTCGGCCCGTCGTCTGATGTCTATTTCAGTTTCAAGCGCCACTCTTGTGAGGTGATATAACTGCTGTTAACTGCATTGGTTCTCCAGGCCCTACTTGTTTCGGATCGTCGCTAACTTTCTCCGCTTGATTAGTTC